AATGTCTGCTGGGAAATTTGACTTTATTTTGATGGTACAAATTTTATTACGCTTTTGATCTTTTTAGTATAGTTAATCATACGTGTCATAACTCATCTCTTTGTTAAAATATTCATAATAATAATAATAATACAATAGGGTTATAACTTATAATAAATATCGACCAGTAATAAAAATCAATAAAACTGGACTCGAAGTGCATTATGACCTTCTTCCATTTATAAGGCTTCTAATGTGAGCTATAGTGCATACTACATTATAGCACACAATCACGAAACAAATTCTAGAACCATAAAATAATATGACAGTTGAAATTTCGCAAATTTATTTAAATTATCAAGTTTTCTTGAATACATTTAATATTAATATAGTTTTGATTTTAACTCTTTAACTTTTTAAGTTATTAATCAACATTAAAATTATCTTCAACTATGTACGTATCTTCTTACCTACCTATCTACTTTAATATGTAATACATTTTTCAAAAACACATCATATTCAATGAGAGCTATAATTATTGAACACATTAATAAAAATAATTCAAAAGGAATGTTTCAGTTAACACGTCAAACATAGTTAACATAGTTCAATTCTGAGACTATGATAACGAACATAGGCATCTTCTGTAATCTTTATATTATCTGTACTATCTGTAATCTGTACATGACAATTTTAAAACGAACATTTTAACAAATAAACAAACCTGAGTACTGTAATTTTGTTGTTGTTACATTGTTTATTATTTTTATTTGTAATCCATATAAATATACAATCAATAAGTGTGATGACATAATACTATTAATAATAAATAACAAGTTTTCTCTTGTTTACGAGAAGCCACTCGGCACCAACACCCGACTACGTCTGACTTATTATTTATTATAAGAGTAAACTTTTGATGGGCCAATTTCATTGAGTATTTGCATACAACATTCTGGATTATGGGGAGTGAGGAAAATAATTTTATAATATAAAGGAGTTTTATTATCGAATTGTTATGAGAGTTTTATTTACTATGGAATGAAGAGTTTGTTGTTGTTTAACTAATAGGTCGAGGGTTGGTATTTTTAAGTATTTATGAAGATTTGTATTACCTATTGAAATATGGCAATTCAATCCAATGTGGCCATATATTCATTATTATTGTTAACCATGTATTTTACTTTATATTTGAATGACATTGAGGTTAGAATTATAAACATCTATTATTTTGACGAATCATACTGTTGTATACATGAACAATATTTTTTCAATAGGTTTTTTCCACCATATTTTGTATTTTAATAAAGCAGCCATTTCTAAATAATTATTGTATTCATTTTCAGACTTAAGCATGATGGGAATAGCCGTACCCAGATTAAGTGTTCGTTCGCCGTCCAGGAAACGTTCCCTACCATCTACAACCAGCACGCATGACCGCTGTAAGTAAAACTTAGTATAATAATTATGTATTAAATTCTTTAGAAATTGTAATTTTAAGACAACCATTACGTAAAATCTAGTAAGACTTTAGAGTCTAATATAGATGCTGCTATAATATAATATTGTGTGATGGGTGTGACCATTGTAATGGTAAAAATTATAATTTATAATATAATATATAATATTCCTAACCCAACACAAAATTCTTATACTAATGGTCTAGATATCGATGTATTTAATGATCAATAAAAAAAATATATATAATTATTAGTTAATATATCTTACAATATTGTTTTAAAGCCGATTCTTCATATTATGACAGAGTGTTTCTAATGTTTCTTGCTGAACCTACTTTGTCATAAAAATGTATTTTAAAAGATAACAGATTTTAAATTTTAACTTTAGTAAATTTGTAATTTTTCTACAATATACTATACCTAACTGGGGTTATATCACGATATAATATCAACGCCTGAACACAAAAACTCATAAGTTTAAAATTAATAATTTAAGTACATATTTTATTGAAGTATATGTTTTAAAGTGTAATTTTTGAAGTCACAAAAGTTGACAACTCAATATATTTCAATGAGCAAATACACTTTAGTACGGAAAACACTATAGTTTGAATAAATAACAGTTAATGCTTTAAATTAAAAAAAAAACACCACCGCCGTGCTATTAAATTGCATATACAATACCCCTTTACGAGTACAAGACCGGCAGTACGATGATAAAATTAGGTTCAAACTTTCAAATTTCAATAACTTACGGTGTGCGTCTTTAATGTTGTTTTTTTTCAAAGTTGTGCACGTATTTTATCGACCAATCAGACGTTTCTCGTTATACGTCAGTTCTTGGCATGAGTCATAATTTATACGTTCAAATTCATATATACAAACGAGGTTTGTACAATATATACTGCTGCAGCGTAATGGGCATGAGTATATAATGTAAAGTTGGACCTTGAAAATTCGCTAGTATTTGGTCGCTCGTGTCTGCTGCAGTAAAGTACATTTTTTGCGTAGTATTTAAAATATTGTCGTACGCGTCCATAATATACGTCCAATACACGCAAGTTAATCCTTCATATTGTTCAGAATAATATTTAAAAGTTTACCAATTTTCCGACGATACGATAGAGAGAAACCCAAAAAGACACCTCCCCAAAACAAAAGATCAATATACACAGTCACAGGTGAGTCATGCGCCATATTCTCTTACCCCCTTTATGACCGTCATATTACTATAGCTACTTTTACCATATAAGCGCTAAAATGCAGTATATTTAATATTTGTATTAGTCGAACTTTCAATAACGTCTGAAACGTTTTCGATTTAGTTTCAATATAAAAACCTATTATACTAATTATATTTAATAATATAACAATAAATTGATGTGTGTATAGTTGTTAAAACATTTGTTTTTTTTTTCATATTATTTTTTCACATTTATTTTGAACTGCTTTATAATTTCTAACACTTTCTGCTGATAAAATATCAATTTCAATTTACTTCTTCAGTAAAATAGTGGGAAATAAATAATAATACAACAATAACCACAATTTTATTAACCTACTTACCGGAAATATTATGTAAAAATATATGGCATTCAGCGATATTGAATAATAATGATAACCATAACTTTATCGATGTCTATTTTATGAATTTTTTTTCCTTTTTTTTAAAATAAAATTACTATAATTATCATGTATTATTCTAATCTGAAATATTATTGAAATATCTACTAAAAATACATTTTCTTAATAATGTAAATTATTTGAAATCGTTTGCGTGCTAAATAAAAAAATACTTCGTTTTTGTTCGAATCGTATCAGGATATAAATAGTAACCTATTGGAAGTGATAATCAAAATAAATTATTTAGCGAACAGAATAAACTCATTACTCGCGTATAATGTTGTGGTCTCGTATCGTCATTTATACGAACTGTTGACCTTTTGTTTATACATTCGATAAGAACAAAAAAAAAAAACTGTACACAGTCGTAAATCGTGAATTAATGTAACCACCGTATCTAAATGTACCTATACGATTTACTTCTATTTCATAACGGCCGATGACATCATTCACTGGTACTTTACCTATATTAATAATAATAATAAAAATAATAAGATAAACACTACCTACTTAAACTCGAAACAAACGAGTAGAGACGTCGAACTCGAGTACTTGAACGACGATATATTATTTCAATTGGAGTGATAGTAATAATAATAAAGTTCCTGCTTTATTGTCAGATCAAATGTCGATGACATTGTCGTCACAAAAAAACATTTTAATTCAGTACTCTAGAGGAAAATTGGGCACGGCGTCGCGTATTATATAGCTCGAATGAGACAATAATCGTGGAACAGTCGACTTAACCCGATATTTCGGCTGCATAAAAATAATGCATGAGGCATAGAGTCGTGAGTGAACACTTTAAAAATTATGTAAATAATTCATCGTCGTACTTGCTCTATAGACTAGCCGGCTACAGCTTAGTGCAATCGCACTGCGCATCTTAGAAATGTTACAAGTCCGTTTTTTTTCTAAAATTCATTTTTCCAGACTTCCAGTCCATTTAATGAATTCAGAAATATACAATGTAGTATTATTGTTATTGACTATACTTCAAATTGTTGCAAATATAATCGAGAAATTATATTTAAGTCCTATAATAACGACGAAACTGATGTTCTTCAATAATTTCATATTTAATATTATATAGGTATGTTGGGTGATAACACGGTCCATATTAAAATAAAATATGGACAAATAGTACGAGTACTGTTTTTTTTTCCGATTTTTATCTAACAATTTTTATTTGGTAAAATCCTCCTATCCACTGCTACGTACCACCTACTGCATAATAGTAATAATATAATAATAATAATATTTATTTGTATACATGTACATAATATTATTATCATTATTATACAATGCGCGCACTATTGCACGGTGGCCCGTGAGCAAGGTTGCAGTCTGTCCGTCCTCCTCACGCTCACAACACCCCCCCCCCTCCCTCCCGCGTTACCACCAAAACTACTCTGTGTGCGCGTAAAGCTATATTATAATAGTGCCACCGCAGCGGTTTCGTAAGGTCGATTCGGGCCTGAGTATATGCGTGCGAGTGTGTGTGTATCGGCATGTGATCGCATGACTCATCGTCGAGACTGCCGCCGCCGACTGCCCCCGCCTCGCTCCACCGCATCATCATGGCGCTCAACAATCGCCGTCGGTGACCGTGTAGTATTGGAATCGATGTTTGTCGCACCTGTCCGTCCGTCGACGGCGGCGGACAAACCCTCCGGGTCGCGGGTTGGACAGACTGGGTCCCGGGTAGAGGAATAATATCTGCGTCTTACACGCCTCGACCACCCTTCTGCTTCTTCCGCGATCCTCTACCAAGACGCCAACCCCCGCCGAAGACAGCCCCGTCTCCGGGTCACGGTACGGTGGGGTTGGTGGTACCTGATCGTACGCGCGCTCGATGTTAAAACTCGGCGATATCGACGATGTTTATGGTTTCCGCGTTGTATAGTAACAATAATATCGCGTACCTACGACGACGCACCGCGCGACAACAATCGATTGATCGCGAGCGCGCCCGCGCCGTTCTCCACGAGTTTTTTCATACCGCCGCCACACTACTACCACTTCTACTACCAGTTGTACTACTAGTACTGCACAACTACTAATGCTACTACTACCACCACCGAGACCACGACCGTAATACCGATACACGGACACTGTACGAAACTCGTGCGCGCCATCCACACACGGGTTCGTCGCGTAAGGTCCGCAGCGCACCGCAACGTATAATAACATAATATAATATGTAATAATAATTAATATTAGTTATTAGGTGCGATGTTACAGATGTTGAAAGATTTTTGAAATTTAAATCCGGCCCTCGGCCGTGATTCACAAGATATCGTAGCGTAGGTTAATATCGCGTAAACACCGCGTAAACAGTTATCGTTTTCGAATATTATACCGTGTAAGTCTTCGTCGCTGTCGTCGTCGGGTTGTATCGTGATTCGATAATAATCATATCGAGCGGCACGCACGAGACATGGGTTCCATCAACTGCTGCTGGGAATATTCCTACGGAAACAGATCTAATTCCCACTGACCGGATGACTAGGGTAAGTGCGTTGCGCGTGTGTGTCGGGCAGATTACGACCTACGGGTACGCATATGTATGTGTTTGTGTGTACGTAATTGTGCGTGCGCGAGTGTGTGTGTGTGTGTGTGTGTGTGTGTGTGTGTGTAATCGTAGCCCGTAGGTACCAGCATTAGCGTGTGGATATATATATTTTTTCGAAACGGTTTTCGGTCAGTCGACTTTCACCGCGAAATCTCCCGACGTCGTTACAATAATAATATAATAATTTTATGTTATACACCGTCATACCACAGGTACCTACAACTGCAGGTGTCGTCCGTTCGTTTTAATAATATTTCATTTTATTTTTACGCAACCGCACGTAATACGTTATACGTATATATATTCATTAGGACGAGTGAAAAAAATCCTGTGCCTCGTCCTCCTCCTCCTTGGATTCTTCGTATTGTACCTACACCTGTCTCACCTACATAGTCATTACTTATGTATGTTCGTTATTATTATATACGGCCATCGATCCCCGACGCAAATCTCACATTTTTGCACTGTTGCGACAACTACTGCAACACGCTTGATCTCTTCAGCAGCGATGGCTGATCGAATAATAACGCGAGACCGGTGATAACTATACAAATTCTCCTTGCCTTCGAGAATTTTCAAACGGTTTTTATTTTTACACTCTTACACAAACGTTCGTATAGTAAGTGTATGCTGTAACTGTTGGCAACATTTCAACATTTTCACGTGACCAGTGCAATTTTAAACAAATTTGTATATTTTTCATGATTTGTGTTTGATTAAGACTCGAGCAAAACTGATATCGTTCGGTCTTTTGTGCATCAAGTTTCTTAAGTATCTTTTTTTTATTATCAGTTATTGGATGATTTTTTACCTTACTCAACTCGTTATAGTTTATATTAATAAGGTGACTCATACGTTTCGAGTGTAGGTGTTTTGTTTGAAGGAGTTTTGAAATGGTCGTATATATATGCAGCTTTTCAACTCGGGGTCGATATACTAAACTTTCAAATAAACATTTTTTCCCAGCTCAAAAATTATTGTTGAACTACGTAACTACGAAATTAATAATCATTATGATATTGTTTCACCGATAATTTTGCAAATTAGAACCCGATAAATATAAATCTAATATAATTTTGAATAAAGTATACAGTTTAACATGTATACATTTAATCATCAGTATTAATAAGCTAATTGCTAATCAGTTATTGCATTTATCACCATTAATTATTTATTTGTTTATATAGAATAATAATTTTTTTTACGCCCTAAAAAGTACAAAGTACAGATGACCGATGGCAGATGGGAAAAGGATTATCATGTTTTTAGCAATAAAATACAATTTGTACTTGCCTAAAAACAAAAATATATTAATTTAAATCGTAATTCTTATAACAATTCATATTTAAAGGTGAATATTATTTGTGGGATGCGACTGTAAACCAGCGGCTTTGGTAGCGAGCAAACCCAAATATAATTTTATAATATAATACATCAACGAGGGATTTAACAATAAATTAAATGGTCAAATCATCATTTTCATTTTTCTCTCTGATTTATTTAAACCAACACTGTTAGAAATCGTTTACAATCTAGATTTTCTTGTTAATTTTTTTAATAGTTGTATACGAAGACAGTGTAATATTTATGATAGTAATTATTATAATTTAATTTTAATTACCTAAGTGTAAAAATATTCGGTTCAAAGTTTCAAAGTATAAAATGTACTTGACAATGAATCTATTTATTAATACTTGCCGTTGTAAAAAGAATATATTAATAAACAGATAAAGAGTTAAGAATTGTGTATTATCTTGAAAAAGTACATAATATTATGTACGATTTATGATGGTGTCATTTATATAATTACCTATATCACCAAATTTAAATTCTATTAGTTGCTCCCTCCAATTATTCAAGTATAAGTACTTATATTGCATCTACTCTCATTTGTGTATAGAAATTAAATATTTACTTTTCAAAGATAGTTCACCGGTGGTTATCATTTAAAACGTAATAAACATTATTTCGTCTGTAAGTATGTATATTGTACAAAAAAAATAAAATGACAACCACGTTACATTAAAAAATATTAGATAGTCATACAAGTACTTTTAACACGTACCTACAATCTTATCCTTTAATCATAAATACAAAATATATCATAAATTTAAAATTAATAATTCAAATAGTTATTAATTAATTTTAGTATATTCTGAAAATATAACAATTTTTAATATTACAAATCGATATTTATATAAATATAATTATTTGTTTTATATGATAAAACCACGATTCTTAACAGCTAATATTAAAGTTATTAATAACCTCATTACCGGTGCAGGGTGTCTAATTTAATGTATAATTTATACTATTTTAAATCGGGGATAAACGTTTTTATCAAATAACGATAGTCATAATACAATGAACTATCAAAAAAACATAGATATATTTTTTTAGGTGTATTCAGATGTTCATTCATTTGTAAATAGGTACTATAAAATATATTTATAAAACTGAGTTATCAAACCACTGCTTTCACAATATTATCAACGATGTGCATCAATATTATTAATTTATTATTTTGGAAAACTATTCTTTTTTTAAAATTTGTCTTTGTATATTATATTTTTGAGTGCTAACAGTTAATACTCACATTTCGTTATAAAATATAACATATAGTAGGATAGTGTGAATTATCCCATTAAATGTATTAATTATTTAATTTTTATTGTATATAATTACCTTAAACAATTATTTATTTAAAATTAATTTTTATAGATGTTCTTTGAAGTTTAAGTAATATTGATTTTTAATACCATCGTTTATAACATATTATATACTGACAGTAAATGTTATATGGTTATTTTATTCTAATTTATGCCTTATGGCTCACGTAATTACAATTTATAATTTTCTATGATCTAAATATATAAACATCGTAAATATACTTGAGTACTTACTTTTATTATTTAGTGTTTTCAATGTGAATGGTTTATCCTAAATGGATCAACAAATTATCGAAATAATTAGCATTTTTTTGATATTATTAGAATCACGTGTACGGGTGTATTGAATACAAATATTGTACAGGTGTATTGTAGTATTTTAAATATTATGCTTAAGACTGCTTATAATACTTAACAAACCTATAATATTTGCGTGAATGGTTTACAGTTTGCAGTTTGAAAGCTCACCAACAACGTTGCTCCATGTCGGCTGTCTGTTACGAGGGTGGAGTTGGTGGTAGATCCCGAGCTGGGCTTAGGCTCAGTCTGAACAGGAGTATCAGTGAGCCGGGCCCAGCAACACCACCGATTACTGTTACTACACCGACAACCACTAAACGATTTCGATTGGAATCCATACCTAGTCTACCGGTTAGTTTACCCGCCAGCCCCAATTCCGACGGTACAAATTTAAGCGGTGCTCTAATACTCAACAAGGTACGCGTATTGAAGTACAATATTGTATTCTATATATATTTTATTTATTTTTATTTATTCTTCAAGAAGATAATGTGCCACACTGAACTATATATAGTAACCATGTCGGCGTAATATAAACCTATTATACTATATTTTATCAAGTATTATTTATTCGTTTCGACCAATCGCCGATCCATCCACAAGCTATAAACTACTGACTCACCGAGAATGACTTAATATACCATATTTATAAATATTATAAAACTTGATACCTATAGGCACCTATATCATGTAATGCGCGTATTATATTATCTCTATAATAACGTCAAAAGGTTGAATATAATATCTAGTCGGGTTAGATCTGCTTTCCGCTTCAGTGTTATACATCAGCAAAATGGCACGTCATCCGTTTTTTTATTTATTATTACATTTTGTATTATTATTATATAGTATCATTATTATTATTACCAATAACAAAGTTAACTGTATTATTATTATTATCATAGGTAAAACGAATGAGCAGTGATTATTTTAGACAAAAACTGGAACTTTTCGGACCGGCGGTCTTGGCCATTGACTGTCGGTCTTTCGTATGCTACAACGTCAGTCATGTCAGGGGTGCTGTAAACGTGAACGTTTCCGACCGCATTAACAGACGGAGATTGCAAACGGGAAAAGCCACTTTAGTGGAGTTGGCGTCTTGCAGGGACGCCAAAGACGCTCTAAGGAGGCGTGGTTACAGGGAAATTGTGGTGTACGATGACTCGACTACAGACTTAGACAGAGTGCCCCATAACCATCCTCTGATGCTAATCCTTGCATCGTTAGTAGACGATGAAAGAGAACCATCGTTTCTTATCGGTAAGTCATTATATTGTAGAGCTACTAGACGTTGAGCATTGTGAACTAAGACCATCTATATAGTATATTATATATGCAATGCTCCCGCGCGGCGTATACATTGCAATTCGAACTCCACCTGCGAGAGTCAAGACTTTATAGTTTATAGTGTATATATGCTTATTATTTTTGAATTATTCATAACTATTCATGAAATTGTTTGTTTCAAATAGTCAATTCAAAACTAAATCGACATGTAAGATAAATACAAAATGCGTAGGTAGGTTCTTAACATAAAATACGAAAAGCAAATAAATACATTTAAAATTAACTCTCGACAAGTGGTAAGAATTGTCACATCAAATAAAACTATCTTGACAGAACGGCAATTAAAAGTAGGTACAATATTGTGTTATTATTAATTATATCTATCAAAAAAATTATATAAGTATACGTATACCATGATAGATATCGTTTAATACAGTTACTATACGTACTATGTAGGTACCTACACGGTTACACTATGAAGTTTATTTTAGTACATACAGAGTATACTGTATAAACACCGTTATTACTTATTATTAGTAGTAATAGTGTTAATAACTTATTACTATTACTAATTTATGACATATCATGTTCAACAATATTGAGTCTCAAAACTTTATTTTTGGTTTGATTCTATCATTCATCAGAAAACGAAATATTATGTTCTAATTTTTTAAAGAAATGATTTATGATCCACTAAATTAAAAAAAAAATTATCTAGTACATATTCAAACGTTTACATTTTTACAATGTTTCTGTTATTAATAAAATGGTTTTCAAAGTATATTGATATAATCAATTATCAATATGTGTATACGTAGTACCTATATGGATATAATATATATTAAATTTGTTTGATAAGTCTAATTATAATATGTATAATATACCATTTAAATAAATATTGAATTATGCGAATACATATAGTAAAGTAAGTAAGGACTAAGGTTTATATAACAATTAATATTTAAGTATATCGGTACTTTAGGTTTATGAATTTATGATTAAAACCTTAGACATACTAGTATACAATTATACAATAATTATGCGCTCACATTGTACAAGGTGATTCTTTTAACAGTTTTAACACTCATTATCTCAAAAAGTTTTAACGACTTCGAAAATACTGTTTTTATATTATTTAAATTCATTAGGAAACAATATATTTTCTATTATTTATCGTTTTTATTTAATTTTTTTAACTTTTTGAGTCAATGCATATATTGTTCGTTTCATACTGTGAGCCAAAATATTTTTCTTAAAATTGTAGCTTAAAATACTTAAATACGTATTTAGATAGAGTAATTGATGAGGTAGTTAGGAATTTAAAATTTAGACGACTAGAAAATGAATTCCTTGTGCCATTCGTCATTCCACTCTCCTTTACCTAACCTAACTTTAAATATTTTCTCTAAACATTTAAGGCTGAAATGTTATGTAATTTTTCTCTCCCTGTCTAAGAATAATAAATGCTTATTAAATATGTCGACGTTTCGTAATGCTTAAATTCTATGGTTAAATTTAGATTTTGAGCGGAGAGTTGAATACTTGAATGTATTGGTTTTACAAAGATTATAATGTTTTGTGCATGTGTGTGTCTGACTTCACTTTGATGAGCAGTAAATGCTTCAACCTTCAACTTCGAGAGTTATTTATGATGGAAAATTTGATCTTCTTAAACATTTAAAAAATTCAGCAAAAAACGATGATTGAACTAAAAATAGTCTTAGCCTTTCTTATAACTAATAATCAACTACTATTATATCTATATTGCCGTTGTTCAAAAAAGTGAAAACTTTATGTATTTGCTTATATTATACATGACATAAATATATTTATGTTTATAGAACAATAATTATTTTTTTATATATTTCATACTACTTGTAAATCTCAAAATTCTTTTGCTGAGTCCAGATACTAGATTAACAATCCACTTCCACCCTCCCACAGATATAACAAATTTGATTTATTTTAATGAAATAATTTCTAAAAAATATATAATTTAAAACTATAAAGTATGGAATGAGGAGACTATATTAAATTATTGTATACTAGTTAATTTATTTGTTCGTGGATTATTACAGAATTTTATCTTTGACCTAATTTCTGTCACGTAATAATACAATAATACATCTCAATCGTGTTGCGTGATTTTAAATAAATATAATTATTTAAAATTGCCAAATTGTTATGAGAACTAATTATGTATTATTCAAAGTACATTGTGTTGTTGTACCTAGCTTTATATTCTATTTATTGTGAAAATTTAAATCAAAACGAATTAGCTAAATTATAGCACCAACACCTCAATTATTATTTTTAAATGAGTGATGAGTTTGTTAAATATTACAATTTAAAAATTAAAATATTTTAATAACTATGAATAACACAGACAATCGTCTAGCTTCAAGTTTGATTTTAGGCCAATTCCCTCTATTATTAAAGCGCATTACATAAAATTGAAAATTGAAACTGTTAAGCACAAATTTAATGTGTTATGTAATGTTTTCTACGTTTGTAAAACGGAGACAACGGATGTAGGTGTGGCGCCATCTTAAGGGATGAATGTAATAGTAAATGCATATCATGCCCATGCATAATAATAAATAACACATTATAATATTGTTTCTGTCAATCTAAATCCTGTCAACACTCATGGAATTCGGCGATTCATATAGATACTATATATTATGGTAACTAATTGGCTGCCTGTTTCATTTTATTGTGATATGATATTTTAAATTACGAATAAATAATTTTGAATTATACGTCCTCATCTTGATGATTGTGTAACTACTAAAAATTTGTCGTATTTTACTACTATACTAGTATTAGGAAGGTACCTACTAACATGTTCAGTCAATTTCTGAAAACAGTCTGGAAAAAAAACAAAATATGAAATAATCATTATATATAACTACGTGTATTAACAATATTATCGCATTTGCGTATTTTATTTTTTTTTCCTATTAATGAGTGTATTAAGAATTCAATGAAACATCTTACAATTATCAGTATAATGTATGATATGTAATAGCTACAATAAAAAAAATACCAATATTATAAAATAAAAATATTTAGGTGAAAATCATATAGTATGACGTAATTAATCATTATGCGGTCATATATGAATTAATATGTTGAACTTTATATTCTCGACGAACCCATAATACTGAAAATATAATCGTTCATTATAGTTACGTATAAGTAATTGGTATTACTTAGGTGCCTATACTTAATAATATTATATAGGGACTTGATTTTATTGTTTCCCATAGGTAAAACTTCAACAAAAGTTCTAAAGCTTAAAGTTTATTATATTTGCCTCTTTACTGGACTACCGAGGGTTTAGATTTACATATAACTATAAACATTTGAAATAAACTGTATTATATTTACTACTTATCATACACGGTCGTTTAGTCGTTGTAATTAAATTAAGATGTTTATGAGTTAAACAACTGACGATCACATATTAAGTTCTTTCTAAATTTGAATGAACCATGATACCACGGTTGTCAGAGACTAGTGAGTAGCGGCGATTGATTAATGAATAGCGAATATACACCAGTAAGTATATACGAGTATATATATATATATGCACCACATGGCCAAATCAAAAACATTTATTTTAGTACATTTTGGTGCCACCCGCACTTCCTAGTCGTCTACGCGCTTTGACACCTATATTTATATTGAAAAATATGGGTTTATTTTGAGAAGCCATTGCCTATTGGGCCCCACAAAGTGAAGCATCTGCCATCCGGTACGAGAGCAGACATCATCCCTTCCAGGTGGAATGCACATGATGTATTGACGTGAACAACATCAGACATTGCGACGCGATACGCATAATATAGTACTATAATATGACCATCGTTCAAAGAAATTCCACAGATAATATCCGACGCAGTCCCTGTAAATCCGCATCAACACGTGACTACTGACTAGTATCAGCTGTTTCATAGCTTGTAATATCATATAATATGTATTATGTAAATCTGAGCAGAGAGTTCAAAAACACGTTTCCGGATGTATATTATTGTAGTTATATTGTAGTTGTTTGTTGTAGTTATTAGCTACTTTTTTTTTCCATCCATATCATAATTATTGACATAAATACAAAACCATGTAATGGTACTAAATTATACTTCATAAAATTAAAATATTAATTGACATACTAATAAATAAGATAACGCAAGATAACTATTATATATATTATAATTTTTGACAGTAAACAACTGTGAAGGGACATTCCTATTAAATGAGTATGAAAGTTTTTCTTCATATCATGAAGCTATAAATGAAGAAATTAAATTTAAAATTCGTTTGTCATTTTACCGACTGACATATAAAAATGAACAAATAAGGTTAAATATTAAAGTTGTATGTATCTTAAGTTTTTAAGCTGAAAATTTCAAAAAACGTTAATGCTTATTTGTTAAAATATAACTCTGTGATCATGTATATATTTGTAGAAGAAAAAAATAATAAAATAATAAAACATAATATAATCAAATGGAATTTCATTAAATTATTGTTGTATGTAAATATTTATAAACTAAACTTTTATAAGTTCGATTATATTTTTAAGTTTTAGATTCACAGTGGATTGTATTCAAAGGAGCTATAGTTGGTGCTAAGCACTAAGTTGTATGCAGCGCCTCTCTAGATTGAAAATAGAACTCTGGTGGTATATTTTTCTAATTTGACAAGTTTTCTCAAAAATCATTATATGAGCTGCGAAATTCGTTGAAGAAAATTTTTTTACCGCTCATTGCTCAAAAAATCTTGATAATTTACCACCCATTTATATACACATAAACTTCACTCAAAATCGTCTTTCAATTTCAATTACTTACGATTCTTTCTTTCAATTTTAAAATATAAAGGCAATTAGTTTCCGATGCTCCAAATATTTATTATTATATATTTTTTATCAATAATTATTTAAACAAAAACTAAATAACTGTCTTCGC